GGCGAGCGGACCAATTGCAATGCTTCCGGGTCCGATGATTGTCAAAGCTCTGCAACTACCCTCGCGATCATGACTATTCTTGCTTTCCAGCGCCTCAAGCAGAATCTTTTCAACCTGCGACACATGAAAATAGATTAATTTGATGAACAGTGAAATCAGTGCAGTAGGGTAAAAGAGGAGCATTTCCAATAAGCCAAGTTTCGAGGGGAAGAGACACCGCCTACAAGTCGTTTCCAAATTACAGTGATACCACAAATTATGGACGCTTCTCATATTGGATTTTTTGCACGATGGACTTCGGCTGACTCGGTTTTGTTCATGCTTGGAGAAGTGATCGCTCTTACAAAAAATGATTCAAGTTGCTGAGCGAAAAGCACCGTAGTTGCCGGAATAATTTTCCAAGTGGATATAAATCATTTGACGAAGTCACAGGTACGTTGAGCATTGCTTTCCTTCATTCGGAATGTTTTTGTCATTAGTTCAGCGCCCATGATATTCGACGTAAAACGAATTTATTTTGCAACGAATTTATTTTGCGGACTTAACTCAAGAAGGGATAAGGGAAGTATTCAAGGGTTCCGTAATTGATGAGCCATTCCATAGAGCATAAACCTTCAAATAACCCGCGCATAAAACAAGTACAGCGGGTGGTCTCAAACCTGTTCGCCAACAAAACATATTTTAATCGGTTATTTCCGATTATGGACTCAACATTGAAATGCATTAAGCTCGTCAGCACTTGAGGCCAACGATTCAGAGAAGAGGCATTCTTCTTGAATCGGCTACGATGCATACAAATACAGTAGAGTAGTTTTGTAATTTGATGATGTACCGCTTTGCGAAGATTCGGAGCTTGGTGCGTGACGAGAGATGCGAAGTAGCGACGGGCAGCATCGCGAGCAGATGAGGATGCCCTGGAACACAGCAAGTGACTNCAAGGACAGCTCCGGTGGGTGGAGCAGATTTCATCGACGACATGCTGGCCAGCGCCTCTTTGCGGCGTCGTTCCTTGCGCTTAAACTGGGATTTCGGGTCACGAGAGTCATCATCCGAGTCCAGCAGCTCGGAAATGTCTCTCGTCAGATCGTCTGCGAAAATTACAGAAAATTACGGTTAATGAATTTAGCATACGGAAAAACGGGAGGCATGAATGTGACCCGGGTTGGACAGCAATCAACTGAAAGATACAGTACTCCTAACAAAATAAAAAAATCAATGCGACGAACATACGGCTTTTCATTCTGAACTAGCTTTGAACAAAAGTTGTATTCCCTCAACTGATCTTTTGGACAAGAAAAAAATAGGGACAGAAGATTAGCAAAAACAAACAGAATCTTTTGTAATCATGATTATAGATGGGTTCTGCAGAAACAATTTCTACAACAGACAACTAACTGTAGCAGCACGTACTTTTTCTATTCTAGCAGAAACATGAACATTAAAAGTGATATTTTCAGAATTATTCCAGATTCTCAATAAAATACGACCGTTTCCAGTCTCAAATAGTATGCACTTCTTTTCCTACTCCACTGAAGGTCCAGCAATTGGTTAAAATACACTGTCAAGAGTTAGACTGAAATGAAGACGCTGAAGACTGGAAGATAACGAGTTTATTTGCAGTAATTAAAAACTGCTCGACTAAAAAAATCATCATTCGATCAAGTACCCAGGTTTCGAAAAATCTAGCTTCATTCAATGGAAAATCCAGATTGAACTGCAGGTTTCTGCAAAAATTCTAAATATGTATTCTTCATGAGAAAGTTCAGGTATTTTCAATGAGAGAAATTTATAAACATGAACATGAAACAAAATGAAGCGCCTTACATTCTCTGGCGAGGTCTAGCAACGAATCGCAAACGCGTTTGCCAGAGAAGAAGTCTCTGAACTGGAAGGCTGTCACAGGCAATTTTTCCAA